GAAGCAGATAATAACTGTAATCATAACAGTATTTGTGCTTGCTCACACTATACATACTATTATACACTCTAAATCGCGAATTAAATGAATGTACAAATTCGCTCCGAGTTAAAATAGCTATACGACCTCGGGTCATATCTTGAAAAGTGGTTGGATTAAATAACAATGCGTCACCATAATTAATTGAATACTTTCCATACTGGTTAATTTTATAAATTATCTTATTAACTAATTGTTTATTATTATCACTATGATCTCTTTTTATTTCATCGTGTATGTCATCTATCTTCCAATCGGTAAATACCATCACGTTTTTGTGGTTTACAATTTTAGTTAATGTGTCCACAATTGGGTAATGTTTTATATTAAAATATGTATTTAATAACACACCGGTAAATGCACTTGTTATAATTAGTGTAGTGAATAACCACGTAATCATTATAGTTGTCATTGGATTCAATGGCCAATTATTATATGCATTTATATTACAGTATTTATCAAACACTGCCGACGATTGCATTGTTAATCCTCTGAACACTTGTATGAAAGCATCGATATATGAGTTGTGCGTAATTTTAGGACATAATCTAATAAATATTGGCATAACTATTACCATAATTCCTATACATATCCATACCTGTAATGTAAAGTATGTACTGTATATTTTAGTATGTATAACAATTATTATAAAATAAATACAGGGTGTACATTAATCGACTATAACATTTCGAAGTCGAATATCTCGAAAGGTATTCGGTCTAGAAAATTAAATAATATATCAAAATCCTCATCAACTGCGGGAGTTTTGTTATGATATGGTCACTATGCTTGACCTCTTATTATAGAAGTAATCTCAAAACTATCAAATTTTTGCCATTTTGTCCATAGTCTCGCAAATGGTCCATTTTCACACTAATATAGTCACGTGACCAAAAATATTTGTATATGCAAAATATTTCCGGCCATGGAACTATATATGTGTGAAGTGATAATATTGTCACTTCAGCTGCTCCCAAATGGTGATCAAAATCCGACACGTAAAAGTTTTGAAACAACTTTATATATTTGAAATATTTAAAAATCATTAATTAACTAAAAACTACATGCAGCACAATAATTTTGATTACATATTCTTAAACAAGAGCAAAAATAACTTGATACCTATTTCAAGATTTTGCTCAAAAATAAGTTTGAATTTAACATTATGTCTATGGATAAAATGGCAAAAATTTGGTAGATTTGAGATTACTTCTATAATAAGAGGTCAAGCATAGTGACCATATCATAACAAAAACTCCCGCATTTGATGAGGATTTTGATATATTATTTAATTTTCTAAACCGAATACCTTTCGAGATATTCGACTTCGAAATGTTATAGTCGATTAATGTACACCCTATAAGTTGTCTATGTTAATTAGCACCTTGTAATCAAAATTATGAGTAAACGTAAAATATGATTGATCATGGTGAGATTGGATGCCACTAATAATTTCAAATTTGTATAGTGTTTTCAATGCAATACCAGACATGAATTTTATCAGTTTAAATAAATACCAGGACTCAACAGGGCCAAAAATAGTTAATAACTAAAACAATTAATAAAAATTATTAATAAAAAGTTATAATCAAGTAATACTCTGTGAAAATCAGCCACGAAATCGTATGTAAATTTAGCTAAAACGTTTAGGTGACAGGTCATATATTTTAGGAGTAATAGTTTTATTCCGTTGATACGACTATTGGTTGGCTGTATTAGTTAATAATTCAATTAAGGCATTATAAATTATGTTTTTAATAATAACACATTACCGGGCTATACATTATTATTGTATCCTGGGTACTTTCGTTAATATATTGATTGTTATTACAATAATAGATATTATTTGTATTAAATATCATAGCTGGTATTATTGAATAAATAAATTTAATGTTAGATTGAATACTTGTTAACATGGTCTTTTATTTACAGCAAAATAAAATGCTTATAATATAAAATTGATATTTAAAAATGATTTTCTCAAATATTTTATTTAAGTATTTTTATATACTGGATACAAGTTAATTTCACAATAACGTATAATATTACTTAATAGGGGATCGGTACCCCTCTACTCTTAATTATTTAGTTTAGACTGAATAGTATATAAGTTGTATTATTTTCATATATTACTAATTTTAAGTATTAATATATGAAAATAATATTAATATTAATACAGCTTATATAACATTCAATCTAAACTAAATGTAATTTACTTAAATGCCAGTTTAATCAATATAAAATTAATATCACATAACGTATTTAGTTACACCCATAATATATAACAAAATGATTTATACTATATAAATCGATGTCATTTTAATTAAACAAAAATTTTGATTAATTTTTTTACTGATTAATATACAGTATAAACTGCAAAATTAATACATAAAACAAATTTCCTGAAAAATTGTAAAAAAAATTCAAATAATAAAATATTAATCACAATTAAATTAAAATAAATAATAAAAACATGATTAGTTGTGTTGTGACAATAACTCATTAACTCGTCCATAAACAAATTAATTATAATTAATAACACATTGTCATACGTGTAAATCCCCAGCGCATTATATGCAATACAAATATTTCAACTTAGGTTCAATAAAATTTAACTACAAATTATGTTTCATTGTGAAATATAATTACATTTCATTGCATACAACTTACATAGTGTTTAATTCAGTAAAATAAAGATAATAATTTATCTAGTTAATTTTAACACGCGAGTCTGACCTGTAATCACGTATTTACCCAAGGATATTGCATTGTAAGTGCAATATTACTTTGATTAATAAATAAAGTATTGACATTTGCATTAATACATAGTAAAATTAATCACTAATTATGAATCTATTCCGGGCATTGAATGTTGATTAATTTAGCGTTAAACGCATTCACGCGTTAATGTAATAATGTGGGACTTTCTGTTGTCTATAATGATTTTGAATAACATTAATTGATTTATGTATAAACAATTAGGCAAGACTCATCACAAGTATATAAGGAGCTCGAGTATTTGTTTGTTTCTCAATTATTTATTTAATAGTATTTAAATTTTAAAAAATATTTTTGTTAACATCAAAATGTTAAACAAAGTTTTGACAGTAATTGTGATCGCGATGTTTGTGTCAGTTTTAGTAACTGTAGTGTATTCGCATGGCTATGGGTACGACTGGTTTGTTATACTAAATAAACATTGTTAATTTATAATAAAAACAACCTAATTGATTTACTTTAAATAATTACAATAGCTATGGCGGATATGGAGGTGGATATGGGGGATACGGTGGAGGTTATGGAGGCTATGGTAGAGGATATGGAGGCTACGGAGGCTATGGAGGTTATGGACGATATAGAGGGTATGGAGGGTATGGCGGTTATGGCGGATATGGTGGATATGGCCAGTAAGTTCAACACATGATGTGTTGTATAATTTGATCATACTAATTATTTATTATAATTTTTTAATTAGTGGTTATGGCCGTTAAGGATGCGACAAAATACTTAATGACCTGGTCTGTTTATGCACAAAAGTACACTCTCACGCTAGTATAAAAAAGTGTTCAAGTTAATTTAATCACCATATGGGCAAATAGTAATTACATTAGCAATACAGAATTTTAAATTAATTTAACTTAATTTATGTAAAAGTAATTTACAACTAAATAAATAAAATTATTTCAAAATCAACGAGACTTTATTTATTTGTATTTTACAATTAAATTTATTAATTATATTTTATATAATTATTGTATAATTTTTTTGTGGAAAAACACTTTCCGTTTACAGAATGTTCGCTTAAATTGATTTATATTACAATATGTTATGAAATTAGAGGGAAAAACTGATTACAAAAGCAATTATAAAAGAGTCTGTTTTTCAATCAACTATTGATTTGATAAATAATTTATAAGTAGTGCTAAAATGTCGGTCACATTAGTCTTTCAATTCGATGTCGGCGTTCATGAATAGTGCGCTTAAGCTCTGCCGTAACCACCCTTTCCTCCTCCGCCACCTCCGACTGAGCCTCCTTTGAAACCACCGCCGGATGACTGAAAGCCACCGCCGAACGAACCGCCCGATCCGCCAAAGGATCCGCCACCAAACGATCCGCCGCCGCTTCCACCGCCTCCATAGCCGGCACCGCCGCCACCGCCGCACTGCCGCCACCGCGTCCGCCACCAAAGCTACCGCCGGAACCGCCAAAACTACTGCCGCCACCAAAACTACTGCCGCCACCAAAACTGGATCCGCCACTAAATCCACCACCGCTGCCGCCCTTAATTCCGTGTCCACCTCCGCCGCCGCTGACCTGACCTCTATGCCCACCGCCACCGCTGACCTGTTGCTGCTGTACGTGTTGTTGTTGAGTGCGTCCCTCACCTCTGGCCACCACAGTATGGATCTCCTCCACGACCGGACGGATCTCTTGCGTAATACGCCTGAACGGTGTGATCACTTCGTGCACCTCTTGGATGATAGGTTTGCTCACTTCGTGGATCAGTCGCGTGGGCTCGTCCTCCGACTGCGTGTGCTCTGTCTCACCGCCGCCGCCGCCGGTATGCGATTGACTCACTTGTATGGATGAGCTCCGGGAGTTGAACTTGAGTATGAGTGGCAATTCGCCCGAATCGATCTCAATCACCTGCGGCTGACCCACCGAGTCCTGCACCTGTACGGGCACTGTCGAGATGCGGTGCGTCCGGTGGACCGCTATATTGATGGGTCCGCTCCCACTGTAGGCCTCACCGCCGCTGAATTCGCCGAAACCCTGAAACCCCATCGATCCCCCGCCGCCGCCTCCACTGTGACCGCCACCACCTTTGCCTCCACCGCCGCCACCGCTGACTACTCCACCGCCACCGCCGTAACCGCCACCACCTCTACCGCCGCCAAAGCTACCGAAACTGGATCCGCCACCACTGCTAAAACTTCCGCCACCACTACTGAAGCTTCCACCACCATATCCGCCACCACCGCCGCCGCCCCCTCCGGAGCTGATAAACCCTCCGCCACCACCGCTACCACCTTTGATTCCACCGCCGCCTCCGCCACTATACCCGCCGCCTCCCGAGGCGTTTGCATATAATAACGATCCAAATAGTAATAATATCTTAAATTGAGCATGGTACGACACAAAATTGCAAATTGATAGTTATAACAAATGCATAATATAATGTTGTAATAGATTTATAATTGTTTTAAAAGTTATTGTAAGACTTACGCTAAGCATGTTTACAAATTTAAAACCACAAACTAATTTAACCGACAAATAATAAACTTAAAAAGGATTGAAACTTGAACCAACACTTCAACAATTTTAAAATCAATCCAATATTTAATGTATTGGAATATAAAATAACCGTTTTTGTGTGAATGTATTGTCCAAAACACACGATCACATCTCAACGTTCAGTAAATAACTGATCATTTTCTGCCTCTCATCACCCGTTTATATACTATCACTCCTGGAGGAGAGAGAGAGAGAGAGAGAGAGAGAGAGAGAGAGAGAGAGAGAGAGAGA